TCAAGTCACCTTAGCAGATGCATGGTTTATTTCATGGGAGCAGAATGGCATGTTTGTTAATGTCTCTAGTTACAAAATGTGTCCTAGGGCCATTATTTATAATGGGCAGCAACAAAAAGCAGTAACAGAGCTGGCGTGCAGCAACGGGCAGTGTAAAATTTTAATTGGGAGGCATTTTCTGGATTTTGATTTTAAATGTCCTGTTGTTAAAAAAGGAAAGCAGCTTTCCAGAAAGATGGCTTTTATGACAGAGGTGAGCATTCAGAATGGTGAACATGTTTGGTCGAGACACCAGAGAAAGGGATGTTTGCTAGATCTCTTCTCCCTGATACTTAAATTACACCATCATCAATGATAACATCAAATTATACATCTTCTTGGAGCAATTAACCACTTCACATACATCCAGCATGAGCAAAATAATATTGGTTATTACTCCTATGTCAAGACCAACTCCAAAGAGCTCTCTGGTGACTCTTTTGTGCTGTGCATGGTGCTAAGACCCTCAGAAACAACAGGAATGCATCTGAGATCTTGCACTGCTATGCAAGATAGACCCTTGGCTCTGCAGAGTGCTGAATTTGAAAGACTGTAGACCGGGGTCCTAGAGGGATGGGACTTATAGAGAGTAGGGAAGAATTAGATGCATTAGGCAAAATAAATAAATAAATAAATAAATAAATAAACAAACAAATAAATAGTTTACCATAAGGAATCTGCCTTAGGGCTCAGGAGAATCAGAAGACATAGAATAGAAAAAGAAATATGGAAATAAATTATAAGGTATTGGCTCATTGGGTTATGGAAGTTAAGAAGTCCTAGAATGTGTCATTTGTAAAACAGAGTCAGGGGCCCTGGTTTAGTTCCAATCCAAGCCTGAAAGCCTGAGAACCAGGGCTGTGGCACTACAAACGGCACAGTACTGCTTGGATTTCAGCACACACACCCCTTGCAACTTCTAGATCAGCTTATTTTCCATGGGTCCCTGCTGAGACTTTGGGCTTTTGTGGTATGAATTCTCTCATTTGGTTTATGTTTGTGTATCATTTGGTAGTCTTGTTACCTCATAGTAACTACCTAAGCTTCATGGCATTATGCAACCTTACTTTACTATGCTCACAGATTTTGGGGGTCAGAATTTGGTCACAGTACTATAGTGATGATAGGTATCTTCTCTATAATGATTGGAGTCTCATCTGGAAAGACTCAACAGCTGGAGGGAACTTGAGGGCCAAGCATGGGTGTCATCTGGAGGCATCTTCACTCCCCACCTGCAAGTCTGGGACTGTTGACGTCTGTCCTCTCCATGAGTTCCCCCTGTGCCTAGGCTTAGGCTCTATGGCTCCCAAGAGGGAACACTGGCAAGAGAGCCCTCCAAGTGAAGCAGACAGAAGCTGTGTGCCTTTTACCATGATTGGAATGTTACATATCCTCCCTTTGGCTATTCTCTGTTGGCAAACCCATCCAGAGCACCAAGGAAGGGACACAGATTTCACCTCTTGATGTAAAAGCACTCACTATGACATTCTCAATTTTCTTAGTTTTCAAGTAGTGCATACAAGCTTTCTTGATGTTGAGACAACTGGATTTCCCTTGATGTGGCAGAGTGGCTCAAATTCCTTGTGATACATAGGGCACTTTGTGGTTAATAATCTGCTGTTCATTATAATGATCTGTAGTCTCTATAATAGTAAATGAGCTGGAACCACAGATATATTTACTGCCTTAATTTAGTTGCTAGCATTAGGCTTATTTTAAAGCATTTTCTCTCCATGTGGATGGAATTTCTTTTATCTGAGCTTATCTTCACTGTCAATAAGTTTAACACTCCTCAACAGCTGGAAGTCTAGATATTATACATCTTCCCTCCCATTAATCTTCTGTAAGTTGATCTTTATAGCCATCGGACCCATTCATCACCGAAAGCTGTCCGCTTACATTTGTATGGTCTTCCATTTAGCTAACTGAACTCTATTTCTTTATCAAGACTAAAGTTCTTTGTCATTTTAATAGTTTATGGAGTTCTCCCTCAGAACTGCCTCCAAGGGTCAGGTTGTCCACAGAGAACAAATGGATGCTAATAATGTCCTTCGTTATGTTTCATCTTAACCCATTCCTAAGGTTCTTTGGTAAAATTACTCCCAAGAAGAATCACATGATACCCCATGTTCTGTAAGAACACATAATCCGGCAGCTCTTCCGTGAGTACATCTGGACATTACGTTTCATTTGTTATCTCATCCCACAAAACCCAAGACTTGACTTTTATTCACCTACATTTTCCTGAATTCATACAAAACACAATAAAAGGGTTTAAAAACTCAGTGTAATACACATTATGAGACAGAAAAGGGAAGACAGAAGTGGGGGGAAGGCATGGGGGAAGGAGATGGTAAAGCCAGAAAAGGAGGGGTGGATGTTGTGGTACAGCTCTTTAATTCCTTTTGGTTGATTCACTCTTACTTTTATTTGTATGGGTTTTGTGTGCATGTATATAAGTGCACCACATGAGTGAAATGTCCATGGAGTTCAGAAGAGGGTGTTGGTTGCCCTGGAACTGGAGTTACACATGGTTGTTAGCTGCTATGTAGGTGCTGTGAGTCCAGCCCAGGTCCTCTGCAAGAGAAGTGCTCTTAACTGCTGAGCCATCTTTCCAGTCCCATGGTTCAGATCTTAAATGTCCCCGCAGGGGACCATATGCCAAAGGCTTGGTCCTCAGGTGCCAGCACTGTTGGGCGGTGATGGAACCTTTAAGAAGTGGGGCTTAGTGGGAAGAAATTGGGTCATAGGGGGCATGCCCTTAAGGAGATATAGGGACCCTTGCACCATCCTGGTCTTTTTTGCTCCCTAGGCATCATGAGATCAGCAGGTTTGCCCCACCATGTACTCCACACCATGGTCTCCATTGCCTCAGACCCCAGAGCAACAGAAGCCAATAAATGGACCACAGACTGAAAGTTCTGAAACCTTTCTTTAAACTGATGATATTCTAGATGCTTTTCCACATGATGGAAAGATGACAGACACAACATAGCTCTCTTCAGAAAAACGTCAGCGAAGTCTGAGCCCCACCAGGGTAGAGGACTGTGCTTCTCATTTCAGATGAAGACTGGGCCACACATGCCTCTGTCTACCCAGGTCCTGTCCTGCCCACCCCAAGCAAGGGCTGGCAAGTGAGCAGATTCAAATTACCTGTGCTAGTTGCTGGGCTGGCTAAAGATCAGAAATGGACGCCCAGGACAAACTTCCTGGAAGGATGGGCTTTACTCCCACATTCTAGAAGTACTGTTTACACAGCATTGGGTAGGGAGTGCTAAGAATGTCACCAGTAATGCCGAGACTGTGGATGGACTCCAGTTCATTCCACAAACCATCTGGATGCCTGACAACTGCCATCACCAATGTGGGGCAGGTCTAGCTCCCAGGTGGGGAGGCTGCTAGGGACAGCTCACACAGAGGCCAGGCCTGGGAGGCAGGGCGGGAAGGGCACTAGTCACTGAGGCCAATTTGGTTGGGAAGATGGATTCAGAGGGTCACTTCCCTTCAGCCCTTTCAAAGACTATGCCCTGGAGTCAAGTCAGTAAGGAAAACTGGGTGTGGAGGGGTTCTGCAGAGACCTGCCAGGAGGCACCAGCACTGCTTGTACATTCAGCAACAGAAGGCAGGCCTGGGCCTTTTCTTCATTGAGAGTGAGACTACAAACTGTTTGAGCAGCAATCTCTCTGGGCTTCAATCACTATCACTTTGCTTTTCCGGGAGCACAGGAGACGAGCTCTCAGAACACCTTCTTAACCCTTCTCAGTCAAGCAGGCATAGTGCCTCCCAGCAGCTCCAACAGACAGGCTCCATCTATACTCCCTTTTTTTTCACATTGAGAAAATAAGACCCAGAACTGCCAAGTCATTTGCCCTAGGGCACACTATTGCCAAGGGAGGACTGAAAGCCAGGCAGTCTGAGATCAGTCTTCATCTTGACTCATCTGCCCAGCTTCTTCCTAACACTGCTCCCAAACCACTCACCAACGGCCACTCTTCTGCTCTGCCACTGGGGCAGTTCACATACATGGAGTGGCCTGCGATTCTCAGCACAGAGGTCTGTCCCTGAGAACTGCTCTTCTGAGGGACAGTCAGGAACCAATCCAGTGCTGTGCCTGTATGGAACATAGTACACACCAATAGATGACACTCTGGCATTAATCTCTTGCTGTGCTGAGACCCCAGGACTCAAAAAAAACCATTGGAGACTCTGGCTCTGGGGGTGCAGAATGCTAGACCCCACCCTCAGGACTCCAAGGGACTTCAAGAACACCTCAGCACTTGTCACCTGCACTTGGGCTCTTTATGATAGTATTTGAGCTTAAGCCCTTGGAATTTAAGTCAAAATTCTGTGTGTTCATTTTTCTGGAGGGCCAGGCATCAGTTTCACTTGGCATGGGGCCTAGGTCTCAGACACACCGACTTTGGACCTTGGTCAATCAATGTTGCCTGGCTAGCCAATGGTGCAGCACTACCTTCCCACCAAAAATCTGGGGCAAAATCCTGGTCCCCACCAAAACCAAACAGCACAAACCTGGGGACCAGACTGTAGAGTGAAAAGTGGTTAGCTGTTTGTAAGACAATACCACAGCCCATTCTAAGGAACTACTCCCACTTTGGAAAGCAGGAAAGAAGAAAACATCTACATCCCTTGAGGCCGGAGATGTGCGTTTGCGGTCATTACACCATTTTCTTTTTTGATCATAAAATAATTCCACAATAAAAAGTTTTTAAAATATGAAAAAGATCAAAACCCCTCTTCATACCAGGCCACAAATGACTGAGCCAAGCTCAAGTGTTACTTCTCTCAGAGAAGCCTACCGAAGGCTCCCGCCTGGCACACGTACCTGGCATCAGGGCTAAAACCCGAGCCACAAAAAGTGGCTCGCCAAGGGATCCGACCCTGCCATCGCCTCTCTCAGCTTGCTCTCCCTCGCCTGTGTCTTTGGGCGCTTAACCTTTCAGGTGTGTTTTCTGGTGGAACCGAAGACTGGTTTGGAGCAGAGGTGCGCGGGCACCTAGGGGAGGTGGACGCAGGTCACCAGGAGCGGGGCAGCTGCGGCGGGGAGTCTAGCTTGTTCCTAGGGCTGCCGGCAGACGCGGGGGTGGGTGGAGACAATCACGATCGAGGAGGAGCACACAGGCGCACACACCTCCCTTCCTCCTTCCCTTCCTCTTCCTCCCACCCCGCCCCCCCGGGGGGGGCGGTACCCTGGTCCTTAGGGGAGGTCTGCACCCCCGAGGGTGGCGGCCGGGGAGGAGGGCTGGTTGGCTTTGCTGCAGCCGGTGGCCTGCTCCGGGGGCCCTTCCCCCGCGCTCCCTCGCCGCCTCCCGATGCTCCCCTCCTCCTCCCCATCCTCTCCATCCTCCCTATCCTCCTCTGGTCCGCGGCAGCCGCGGCTCGGGGAGCAGCCGGCGGCGCCGCGGCCGCACAGCCTTTGTCTCGGGCCGCCGAGCCCAGCGCAGGCGTAAGTGACCGGTGGCCGGGCCGCGGGGGGCACTTGGCGGGGCGGGCCGGGGTGCGGGCGCTGCCTGCAGGGGAGGCCGGGCCGGAGGAGCCTAGTCCGTGGTGCTCCGGCCGCGGAGGCGCGGGGACGCCGGGCGCAGAGGGGCGCGGGGCCGGCTGGTGAGGCGCTGCAGCCTCGCGCCCGCCCGCGGACGTGCGACTTGGGTGCAAATCCTGTTTCTCTGGGCAGAGGCCACGCGGGGACGGCGGAGGCTGCGAGGACGGGCAGTGATGGAAAAATGGGAGAGGAGCCGGCCCAGCGTCACTGCCACCACCATCACCATCACCATCACCACCACCACCACCACCACCACCATCACCACTACCACCACCATCACTGACCGTAGCCCATCCCACTCCCCAGCCTCACTCCCATCTCATCTCCCCGTGCACTGCCAACTTTGTCAGATCATTTCCTTTGCATCGGGTAGTAGTTGGACAGAACGACAGAGTGCGCCAGCTGGGGAATAAGCGCAGCTGCCGTGGGACATTCGTCTTCCGGGCCACTCAGCTGCCTCTGTTTTCTCGTCTCGGAAAGGGGCCTGCGATCCCCACGGAGGTGGCTGCGTTCCCAGTCTGCCTAATCCTGGCGTTAGAAGCCACCCAGAGACAGGTCACGTGGTAATGATGAGTGACACCTAAGAAATGTCTTCATCGAAATAGAGAATTTGAAGATTTAAAACTTTCTTATTTTTTTTTTTTTTGACCGTCAGAAAAGTAGCAGTAAATGAAAATGTAAAGCAGTGGAACTTCGACTAAACTATTCAAAAATAGGGCAAAATAGGTGTTTTGTAGGAAAATTGCCCCAGTGCGCCAAGGGCAATGCCCTTCCTCTGAAGTTCCTTTTGCTGCCTCGTGGCTGTGTGTTTCAGATGTACATCGTGTCCCTCGGGGGACACACCTTAAGAATGCTTTAATTACTGGATTTCAAAACTGGCTTTTGCCAGCCCAGGGCTGACCAGTGAGAACAAGCACACGTGTAGAGAACGGTCCTGGAAAACACAAACTAAAAACTCTAAATCCACTCCTTTTCTCTGTTAGCGGAAATTTCCGGGAGCCTCACCTGAGGTGCTTCATACCAGCTCCCCGGAACCCCTCTCAGGGTTCTTGGTCTTGTTAATAAAGGAATTTAAGAATGAACTCGGAAGGAACCCCGAGGACAGTTACTGGAGTTTCAAAGAACTCCAGAGCAGGCAAGCTGTCAGTCTCTTTAGTTTCCGGGAGAAGGAAGGAGAGAAGGAAGTTAAGGTCTTTCTACGCAGCTGCACGGAGGAGGAGGATGGGAGCATAACAAAACAGAAAGACCAGAGTGCCCAGGTAGTGTGCCCGGGCTTTCAGCAAGTATCTGAAGGGAGGTAAAGAGAAGAAGAAAGGAAAAGTTAAGCTTTCCCCAGGAATTCAGAAAACCCAGCGGACCTTAGCAGAGCTTCAGAAGGCACTGTCTAGAAGGTGGGGCTTCTGGGGGGAAAAGTATATTATTTCATCTAGAGAATAATTACTCCGCCCATCCCTTTAGCATGACTTAAGGTGAATCAACCTTCCTGAAGGGCTGAGCCCTTGGTCAGGTGATTGGCAGGCCAAGCTGGGATAAATCGTCATTTGGGGGCTTGGAATGTTAGGTGTCCAACCAATTCTTTTGATCACGAGGAAATCCCTTTCCCTTAATGGGTCTCAGCAGAGCCCTAATCGAGCTGCTGCAATATTTCTTCCTCTGAAGAGGTAACCCTAACATCATTCAGGAGAAAGGCTGGAATTGGGGAATAAATAAATCCCATTTTCACCATGAAAATCTAGAGATCCCATTCTAAAAGGTTGTAGAAGGTATTAGTGTCTGTAGCAGTTTGGGCTATATGCTCATGTGTAGCCTGGAGGCAGGGGCACTTATTAAGGGGGACACAAGAAACCAGAGCTCCCTTCTGCCATTCCTGCTTGGAGACTGGGAGCACTGCTGGAGTGCTGGTCTTTGGGTCCCTGCCCTGTGCTACCTGTCCAGTTTCTGTCTCTTGTTCTCATCATAGCTGGCTAGAAAAGGAACCCTGAACTGAACTTCCACCTTGATGTTCTAATCCACAAAAGACAACTAATCAATTCCTAAGAGACGTTATAATGGGGCTCTGTATGAAGAGGGCTGCCAGAGTATCCCCCATGGTATGGTTCACCTTAAGTCCTGTAAGAAGGAAAAAGAGTGACGTTATTAAAAAATAATATGAGGTGAGAGTGGTTGGTGTGTGTTGTGTCCATTTGTGAAACTAAGAACAAATTTTAGTTAATAAAAAAATTTTAAACTTGTAGAAAAAAGTAATAATGTGGACCCAGCTGAGCAAGACTGACTACTGTCATACTTGAGAATATTGCATACGTTGAAGTATAATTACACACAGAACTCAGACCTTTCCAGTTTATGAAATGGGTCTTTAAAATAATATGTGTAATTTTGTGGCAAAGGACTTGGAAATCATTTATTTTCCCCAAAATTTCAGGATCTCAGATTTAAGTCAAACACAATCACATTCTCAGAACAAAGATTTAAAGTAATTACTATGTTTTAAATTTTGACTCTTTGGGAAAGAGTTAGCATCTTAAAAGAAATCTTATGCCTTTGGTTAAATCGTAGTCCTTTCTGCTGCTATAACTAAATACTTTGGATAGAGTGCTTTATAAACATAGGAATTTACTGCTCACAAAAGTTCAAAATAGGGTGCTAGTTCAGCCTCTGGTGAAGGCTTGCTCCCTGCCTCTTAAATGCACCTTTCATGTTTTATCCTGTTGACACAGGGGCAGAGAAGCTCTCTGTAGGTTTAATACACCGTAATTTTAAAACAGCCCATTTGTTTTATTTATCTTGTGGCTTTGGTAATCAGTGGAATTGATTCCAGGATCTCATGCATGCTAAGCATACTACCACTGAGCTACACCCCCAGGCCATCACTTATTTATTGAAGTGTTTGCATACATGAAACTTGATGAATTTTTGCCTGAGTACATCCTGCCTGTGCCCCTTCTCAGTCAGTATGCCTTATGATTATAACCACATTTAGGCTTTTACGAACATAGAAAAACAATTATTCTAAAGTAATGTCTAAATAAAAATTTTATATGTATTCCATTAAGTCCACTTGGACCAATCCTTTTTGGCATTTATGACAGGGCCTGGTCCTGGGCCCAGCACCGTGTAGACATGGGCCTTGCTAGAGCACACTCAAAAGGCAGAAAATGAGTGAGCAGCTCCTGTCCAGGCAGAGGTGATAGGACCACAGGGAGGCAGGCTCTAACCCAGTTTGGGGAGTCTTCCTAGAGGCTGTGAATTTTTACTTTGGAAATGGAAAAATGAGATGTTCACTAGCTACAACATGGAGGAGGAAAAGGAAAGCAGTTTTGTACCTGGAACGAGCATCTGCACTCATAGACTCAGAAGGGCATGGAGGGGTAGAGGACCAAAGTCAGTTGCGGATGACTGGTATGGGGGGTCAGGGGCGCTGAACTGCTTGGGAGGCTGCAGGAACCATCCCAGAGATCCAAGGCTCTCCCTGCAGGCATGTGGCTCTACTTCAAGGACAGAGGCAGACCTTACTGGTGGGCACAGCAGGAGAGAGCTGAGGAGCTGGCTAACTGCTTCACAGTACCCAGATTACAGGAGTCCTGCATGGAAGGCTGTATGGACATCCAGATGAAGGAAGAGGTGCCAGAACCAACTGAGCAGTGGCACAGATTTGAGATTTAGAAGGTAGAATGAATACAACCTTGTGCTTGATAGGATTCCTGGATAACCCCTAGGTTTTTTAGGTCTCAGGAAATCGATGATGGTACCACTGGATATATGGGGGAAGAATAGCTCAGGTGATACTTTTGATTTTTAAAAACTATAGATTTCTTTTGAATTAATACCAACAATTACACAGTAGAGAAGATTGGACAGTAATTCAATACACACATACAATATATGATCAAGGAGCTGGAGAGTTGGCTTAGCAGTTAGTTAAGAGCACTGACTGTTCTTGCAGAGGACCCAGGTTTGATTCCCAGCACCCACATGGCAGCTAACAACTGGCTGTAACTCCAGTTCCAGAGGATCTAACACCCTCTTCTGACCTCCAAGAACAATGCACAACATGGGTGCACCTACATCCATGCAAGCAATACACTCATATACATAAAATAAGAATAAAAAAATGCTAAAATTTTTTTAAAATATGTGATCAAATGAGGGTAATTAAATTAGTACTTACATCTCCTCGACATTTCTTTGTGTTTGGAGCCTCCTAGTTCTTCATAAATATATAATAGTTTGCTGTAAACTGCAGTAACCCCACTGTGCTGTGGAACATGGTAGTAGATTCCTCCCATATAACTGTATTTTGGAACCCCATGTCCAGCCTTTCTTGCCCTGATACATCCCCCCTATTTTTTTAAAAAAACTTTGTCTTACTATGCAGCCCTGGCTGGCCAGGAACTCACTATGTAGAGCAGATTGGCCTTAAACTCACAGAGATCTGCCTGCCTGTGCCTCCTGAGTGCTGGGATTAAAGGTGTGTGCCACCATACCCAACTCGTCCCTCCTCTTTTGAGTCACTGTCTCACTTTGTAGTCTAGACTAGCCTGGAACTCCCTATGTAGCCCAGGCTGACCTCAAACTCAAAGCAATCCATAATCCTCCTTGCTCAGTCTCCCAAGCACTGGGATTTCAGGCCAGAGCCACCACACCTGGTTCCTTTGTTGTTGGTGGTGGTGGTTTGGGTTTTTTTTTTTTTTAGATTTATTTATTTTTATTTTATGTGTTTGAGTGTTTTGTCTGCATGTTTATGTGTACCACATATGTGCAATGCATGTGGAGGCCAGAAGAGGGTGTCAGATCCCCTGGAACTGGAGTTAGAGCCTGCTGCCATGAGGGTGATGGGAACAGAACTGCGGTCCTTTGCAAGAGCAAGAAGTGCTCTTAACTGCTGAGGCATCTCTCCAGCGCACTGTGTTTTTTTCAAGATTTATTTTATTTTCAATGTGTATATCAAGTGTCTGTGTGTGGGTATGTGCTTAGTATGCAGGTGCTGCCCATGGAGTCCAGCAGCAGTAGATCCCTCCGGAGCTGGGGTTACAGGCAGTCGTGAACCACATGATGTGAGTGCTGGGAACCAAGCTCAGGTCCTCTGGAAGAGCAGTGTGCATGCTTAACTAGGGAGCCATCTCTCTAAGCCCACAGCTGGTTTTGACACCTCCCTTTCTGGATGCATTTGGTTTTGCCTGCTGATTAGTGTGTGGAGCCTTTGGGAGAAATACCTCCTCGAAAATTTTCTAAAAGGCATATTGATTGAGCACATTCTCTGCCGAGCATGGCTGTCACTTGGGAGTAACCTTCCTCTGACGAGATCCTGAATCTTGCTGTTGGGAGCTCCCAGCTGGGAACTACAGCCAGGGAGCTGCCAGGTCCAAGTGAGCTACAAGGTCCAAGTGGTGATAACAGCTTCCAAGAGATGACTCAGTGAGAGGTCAGTGGAAGAGCAGCAGTAACCTAGGGTGAGATCGAGGAATTCTAAAGAGATGGAACCAGAGGGGGCAGAGGAAGCCAGAGACGCTGGGCTTTAGCAGCCTAGGATGTGTGCCCCAGTGTCACCCACAGTGGAGAGGACAAGAGGCAGCCTATGGGTGGTGCATCTCAAAGTGGGGCCCCCAGACCAGGGGCTGTGGGGCTGTCCCAGCAATTTCGTGAAATGCACATTCCTCACCCTATCCCAGACCTTCTGAATCTGCACCCTGGAGATGTTGTTGTTTGTTTTGTCCTGCTTTGCTGTGCTGGAGATTGAACCCAGATGTTTGCAAACGCCAGGCAAACACTTTTACCACTGAGCCACTGTCCCAGCCTGCAACCTGTGTTTCAATAGGTGATTCTTGGTATAACACTGCTGCATTAAATGAAAAAGAAGCAGCAGCTGATTGGAAAACTCAGCCTGTTTGAGAATTACAACAAAACAAAACAAGACAAAAAGAACCCCAATAACCTCAAAAACCCATTTTTAAACAGAACTGTTAAAGTTTTATTTTTTGTTTTACAATTTCAAATATTCTCTTTTCTTTTGCATGTTTTGAAGTTTTTTTCCCCTTCTCTTTTATATACTACTTGACAATTGATTGATGTTCTGTCAGCTCTGATTTTGAAGATTTTCTTGCCTGCTCTGAAACCCTTCACTTTATGGGGACTCACTATGCTGGAGCACATACCTCCTTGACATGGGTCACTGCCCTCACCTCTGAAATGAAGGGCTGAAACTCCCAAATAGCAATCCTGAAGACAAGTGAATCTCACCACTAATCGCAGCCTGAGAAAATATCAGACACTTATAAAAAGTTCCAAAACTGTATTTGGGAAAGAGTCCTAATTATTTGAATTTGTTGTTTGTGTCGAGTCAATGGAAATATGCCCTTTTTGTCTTAAGTGATTCAGTAATGTAACCACAGTTAGTGCACTTCTGATATGAGTATGAAGGAAAGGACCTTTACTATCTCTTGTCCTGATCCGTATGTTTATCCCAAGTTTATTTCGGTTGACAGGAAACATTAGAGCATGTTGCTTTGTTCTACTGTCACCAGGGAAGATCAATTCTGAATCCTCATTCTGATAGAGATATAATTCTTACTATTATCCCTGTCCAAAGTGAAAACTTTGCTGTTTGTAAGGATAGGATCTGGCAGGAAGTTCCAGCACTTTACATAGTAATGAGCATAGAACAAGTCCTCAGAGTGGATGAATGGAGGGATTAGGGGGAGGATGGTGGATGAATGAGTGGATGGGTGGATGGATGGCTAATGACTGGATAGATGATAGATAAATAGGTGTGTGTGTGTGTGTGTGTGTGTGTGTGTGTGTGTGTATTTTTAATACACAGAGCTGGGGATATAGCTCAGCCATAGAGTGTTTACCTAGCCTACATCAGATAAGTCCTCAGCACTGGACACACAGACACAGACACACACACAATATTGGATGAATGGATAGACAGTAGATAAATGAATTGATGTGGATATAGGTGTGCAAGATGGAAGAATGGATATATAGATAAATGAATAGATAAGTGGGTCAGTGGATAGATGAGTGAATGAATAGCTATGTGAAAGCAGATAAATGAATGGATGTGGATATACGTGTGCAGATGGAAGAATGGATATATAGATGAATAATAGATAGGTAGGTCAGTAGATGGATGAGTGAATGAATAGCTGTGTGGAACAGT